GCGTAGTACTCCATTGTGTGTATGTACCATAGTTTGTTTATCCATTCATCTGTTGATGGGCATCTAGGTTGTTTCCATCGTTTTGTTATTGTGAACAATGCTGCTGTTTATGAGTTTTGATACATATTGCCAAACTGCCCTCCATCAAAAAATTGTTAGGATTTATATCACACCAGAAATGAATGACAGTACTTTCTTCTCACCTTGCATGAAAATGTGCATCCTTTAAACATTGTTAATTTAACAGATGAAAAATAATTGTTATTTAAATTTGCCTTTCTTCAATTACTAGAGGACAGACTTTTTATGTGATTTATCCATTTGCACTTTTTTTGTGAATTGCCTCTTCATATCCATTGCACTTTTTGTTTTTTTACTGATTTGCCTTTTCTTTATTCATCAGTAAGAGTTCTTTTTCCATTAAAGATACTGACCCTTTATCTAAAATATGTTAAAATGTAATTTTCCCATGTTTTGGCTTGCCTTTCAGCTTTGATTAATATGTACTCCTATTTTGTTTACCATGCAGAAATTAAATTTTATACCGTCAAATTTATTAGTCTTTCCCTAAATGTCTTTTGATTTTGCTGTCACTCAGAAAATATTGCAATCCAGTATCTAAAAAAATTCACCTATTTTCTTCCAGTATTTAATCTCTTAAAAACTAAAGAAAAATACAATATATTACAGCTGGAACTTAAGAATAAGCTGTGAGATAGGGTCCTTATTACTTTTCCCCCTCAACTGGCTACCCAGTTGTCCTCTTTTTAACAATTCATTCTTTCTCCACTGATGTGTATGTGAAATTGTGAGATGCCACTGTCTTTATATTACAAGTACACACACACATACACTTGTGACTTCTTTTAATAAACAATAAGTTTAAGACCTGAGCCAATCACATCAACAGAACCATTATTCCTAAGGGACAGAGCAATAATTTTTATTGCCATAACCAGTATCTGATTTGGTATTAGTTATCCAGTAATTTGGTATTAGTTCTCGAGTAATATTGGATACACAATATTAAGTAAGAGATTCAACATCTTTGTCTATGCTCCGTCACAACTTGGTTTAAGAATGTAAATCTGCTCAGAACGAAGTTGCGTATCACTTTAAATTAAGGTTCGCTTCTGGATGAGTGAGAATAGTGCATGAGGGTTCTCTTTTGAAAGCGCTCAGAATCCTGGCAGCTCCAAGAGGAAGAAAAGACACAGAAGTAACCCATGGAAGGCTCGGACAGACCTAGGGAGAGCAACTCTGTCCCAAGAGCCCCTGAAGCTGATGAAAACAGGTAGTGCGGGTTCTCTATATAACCGCTCTTAATTGTTTAACTGGTGATCCCGATTTTGAAGGATATTACTGACATTTAAATACACCCGAAAAAATACCACGGAAAACTATTTGTAGTTGTTTTGTGGCCGTAGAAAATCAAACTGCTGAATTTCTAAATCCCAGAGACCACTTTGTATTCGTATGTGGGTGTTTCTTTCTCCTGAGGCATTCACTCGAACTCTATACTTTCTTGCCCTAGTCGTCCACACAGCACCTTGTGTCTACTGGCCTAACACATTTCTCCAAATTTTACCCAAAACCCTAAGTGTAGGAGTCAAAGTGGTGTAAAGTTACTAACATCCGCAACTCTAACCTCTAATAAGTCACTTGGGGCAGGCACCAGCCCAATAATGAAAGAAAAGATTTAGATCTGGGGCGTACGTGTGGCACAGGGAATTTCTAGCCGAGATCTCAGCGGGTCAGCTCCATCTGTGCGTTTACCCTTTCCCCCAAAGAATTTTATTTGATCTCTTCCCATGCAGGCCGTGCCTCCCACCCCTATTCTCTTTCGGGTATCTCTTCAATATGGTGTTCCATTAACCCAGCAATCACCCTCCCACCTCCTCCCTAAAGGTGACAAAACTTCACAGGTTGGCACTGGGTTCCCAGCGGCGTCTCCCTAACAACCGTGCCTCTAAAGGTCACCGGAAAAGGCTACGATCACGTGTTCTCACGACTTCCGGGTTTACAACGTGACTTCCGGTTGTCAGAATCCCCGAGACACTGCTGCGGCCGAGGAAGGGAAGTTGTGCATCCTGAGGTTGCTGTGGCCCCAGTGGGGGTGGGCCCTGGGTGGGCTCGCCTCCTGCCCCGGCCGCGATGCATCCGCGGCGCCCAGACGGATTCGACGGCTTGGGCTACCGGGGTGGTTCCCGGGATGAGCAGGGCTTTGGCGGCGGAGGCGCTTTTCCTGCAAGGTCCTTCACCTCCGCGTCGGACCTGAGCCACTGGGTGACCACTCCCCCAGACATCCCGGGCAGCCGCAACCTGCACTGGGGCGAGAAGAGCCCACTCTACGGCGCGCCTGCCGCCTCTACTCCGCTCGAGGGGCCGGCAGAGGAACCCTTTCCCAGCGGCGGCGGCGGTGGCGTGCCGGGGCAAAGCAGCGGTGAGGGCCGTGGGGGCCCGGGAAGGGGTGGGCCGGGTGACAGAACCACTGTTCGCGGCCTGCAGCCTGCAGACCCCGGAAGCCGGGCGGAGGGTCCCGCCTCTAGTCTCCTCTCAGCCTATCGCGGGCCACACCCTCTTCCCTCCTTTCGTTCTCTGCCCCTGAAGCGGGCCTCTTTCGTCTCCCTCACACGTTTTCTGCGAGATCACCTCCAAAAAGACGCCTGCCTTAACCAGGGGTCGCATGGTCAGAATTGAAGGAAATTGGATTATTTGCTGTTTATTGGAAGTTGTGTGAACAATACCTAATTCACTTTGACAGCTGTATTTCAATTATTTATTTGTTGGTTATTTTACTTGTAGTTTTCTGTTCTGGAAAGGGAAGAGGCTTTCCTTTACAGGCAAGGTTGGGTTCAAACCTGGCTGTACCACTTGCAGGCTGAGCGACTTTCTTACCTCTGTGAACGCTTAGATTTCGCTTATTTATGGGGTAGAAGAATAACGGAATTTTGGGGTTTTTTTTTAGTGTTAATGAGTTATGAGTAATGCTGATACAGTATGGCGTATATAGTAGGCTAAAACATATTCGTTTCCTTTCTTTTCCGTTTTAATTAAAAGAATTGTGTCTTGTTTGTTTTCTAGATCCCCAAAGTACTGTTTCGCTTCTTTTTCCTTCTGACCTAAAAACTCCACTAAAGAGTTAGAAACACTGATACAATTCCAAGATAAGACTTTGGAATCTAGACATAATACGTGAGAAGACCTGTGTTTTAACTGCAACACTGCATGGTCTAGATATTCTCAATATCTTTTGTTTATAAAATGGAAGTAATGACTGCTTCTTCCCATTTTCCTGGACTTGTTAGAATAATGGGTTGATTTATATGATAAAATATTAAATATATTCTAGACAGCTCCATTCTCATTTCCTTATTTTTGACTTGGAAATAAAATAATATTTATTCAGTTTGGGTTAACTGGGAGGAATAGACTTTAAAAATCATCCAGGGAGCAAATGAGGATATGGAGAAGGATCAGTGACTTAGCCAGTGTCAATAAATTAGCTTTTTGACTTTTACCTGGCTTTCTTTTCATTGTGTCATACTGGTCCCAAAAAAATTGTGGAAATCTTTTATAAGGTATAAATTAATTCAAGATGCATGTATGATTGCTCCACAGTTACCTTCTTAGCCTATAAAGCTTATGTTTTTATCTTTTTGTAAGTTATGTTTTGATGGTTGCAATGAGGAGGAACTCACTAATAAAACCAGGATTTGTTTTTTTTTTGGCAGCAGTTAAGAGGCTGAGAAATATAACTTCGCAAGGAGGATAGAAACCTGAAAGACTTACATGGTTAACAATAGTAATCTTCCTAACACCTTTCAGAAAATATTAGCGGTATTTTCTGTTAATATTTCTGTACACACAAAAAGGGAAAAGAAGGAAAGCTCCCTACCTGGGCAAAAACAGCTTTCTATCTAGCTTGTATATTTGTCAAGGCCAGGATGAATCAAATAGTTTTCCCAGGGACAAACTTACATGGCCTTGTTCTGACGGTAAGAGAATAGTGAAGGTTTTGCTTTGCTTTGCTTCAAACAGCAGAAACGGACAGAGAGAATGAATGAATTAACCCTTATGAATGTGGTATTATAGCTAAAATTTAAATGTCTAGTTCCCGGGGGCTGTGATTTTTTACCGTTATAATTTTGGGTTCTTCAGTAAAGGAGAAAGGTTTTTCCATTTTGACATATGCATAGGAATGTTCCCAACTGTAAACTTTTCCAGTAATACTGTAGAAATACCATCAGCAGTAACATGTATGTACCCAGTAACCTATCACAGAGACTGAGTTAATCAGCTACTCAAAATATTTTAAACTTGGAGACATAGGGAACAAGAAAGTCGTATTTGCCCATTTTTTGTTATCCTAACTACTCTTTCAAATTGATAATTTAGAGGTGTTTTACTTATGACTATTGGTTTAACACAGGTGCTGTCCACCATTAGCAGTGAATAGCTAATTTTATAACATGGGAGGTAAAGTTGTTGGTGTAAGTATCTGTTTAAGCCTACCACAGGAAATTTTTCAAATTGTTTGTAGTCAGAAATTGAAAACTGGTAGCGCTTAGGTTTTACTTACAGACATGGTTAATTTGGCCCATACAATGTTTTCATGCTTTTTAACATAGTTGCCAATATTTAAAAATTGGAAGGTTTTATATAAAATAACGGGAATATCTTTTTTGAAAAATAACAGCTTAGAATCCTGGGGCTACAATCCTATATGGCAAGGAATTGGAGGTAAAGAGCACTTGTGTCTTTAGAAGGTCTCCACTTTGCAACTTGGCCACAAGCCCCAGCAGGATTCATATGACCTTCCTGGCCCCTGTCAGAATTTGACTTTGGTAACTGGGGTTTACATGAACAGCCTGTTACTAAAAAGAAAGGAAATTTATTGTTTTTATAGTAAACTTAAAAATTGATTATAACTAACTCTATTCCTTCTGTTTTAGAACAGTTAAATAGATTTGCTGGATTTGGTATTGGACTTGCAAGGTAATGTTTATCTAAAGTGTTTTTATTTAAAGTTTCTTTAATTTATGATAAATGACTAGTATTGTTTCATTTGGGTTGATTCTTTGGAGTGCAGATTAAATATTGAATAATTTGCAGAGCAATTATTTAAAATCTTTAACTTGATGATTTTTCTTTTTCAGTAAGAGTAGAGACGAGTCATTCAATTTTATAATCACAAAGTAATTGTGTAAGAAATATTGTAATAACTTCCATGGTTTATTCAAAGAATAAAATAAAATGTAATCTTATTTTCCTCTTACCCCCAAAAGTAATTATGTGTTGAGCCTTTTTCATAAATATTTGTATGCTAACAAGATATTTAGCAGCATAGAATCTAGGTTTTGCTCACAATCAGCTTTTGATGATCAGCATTATATTTTTTTATTTCTAATAATCATCGACATTTTGTTTAAGAAAAGTCTTCAGCCTTGATTATTGTGATCTTTAGTGAATCAGTTTCAGAAACATTGGAATTGTGCCAAGGCTTACATTTCATGGCAGCATGACCTTCATTGTTTTAAAAATTTTAATCAAAAAAAAATACCTTATTTGCATAATTTAACTTGACGATGTTAATGTCAATAAAAACAAAGTTTGCATATTAAAGTTTTCCTTTCTGCCAAAGTTAATTTTTTGTTTTTTGTTTTTTTTAGTCTCACTGTTAGACTTTAGCCTTTTGTTCATTTGATATGTTATTAATATATAAGTAAATGTGTGTGTGTGTGTCACAGTGTCTTAAATCCTCGGCTTCTAGTTATTTTGTGGGGAATACTTTCAAAAGAAATATTTGATACATAAAATAGTAGTCAATTAGCATGGTCATTAAAAACCCTGTCGCTTAGTGCAAAGTACATCAAAACCGAAATTTGTAGTATGGGGTTCATGAAGAGCAGAGAGCTTTGCTTATAGGAACTTTGTCCATGGGGCATCTTCTGAAAGAAATGAAAGGGGCATTTAAGATGTTTGGGAAAGGAGTTTCCCACATTAAGCATACAGAGATCTAGTTGCATCTTTATACTGTAGCTATTAATATTATGTATTGTTTTCCTTGCTTAAGAGTTTGCAGACCTGGTTTTAATTCGTTTCATATTGAATTTTTTTATTGGTGGAATGCTTTCGCAAACATGTCTGGACTTAAAATCTTTGTTTTACTTTTGAGAATGAAAAACAAAATAAGACATGATTCGTCAGACAAGAATAATTTTGTATACATATGTGTTATAAATTAATTTTGGTTATGTATTATATATATGTATGCACGTATACATATATATATATATATATATAAATTATTTTTGTATAGTCTCTTTACAGAAAATGTACTGGCCCATCCTTGCATTGTTCTACGCCGCCAGTGTCAGGTAAACATAATTTCTATGATATTCTAAAACAATAGTCAACCCTGATTTGAAGTACAGAACTCAGATAAATGGTGTAAGACCATGTAATCATTTACTCCATGTGTAATATTCCAAAATGTGTAATACATCAGTTCTCAGACTTTTTGGTCCTGAGACATCTTGAAAGTCTTAACAGTTACTGAGGATCTCCAAAGAACTTTCGTTTATGCGACACATCTATAAAAAACAAAAAAACACCATTGCCGTTGAGTTGATTCCAACACGTAGCAACCCTATAGGACAGAGTAGAACTGCCCCATAGGGTTTCCAATAGTGTAATCTTTATGGAAGCAGACTGCCACATCTTTGTTCTTACCACCGACCTTTCATTCAGCAGCCGAGTGCTTAACCACTGTGCCACTAGGGCCCTTTGATAGCTATAGATATAGTATGTCTATTTACTTAACTAATTAAAAATAATAACGAATCTGTTAAATATTAATGTAAATAACATTTTTATGAAAAACAACTGTGTTGTGTTTTTGCATGTATTGGTTCTTTGAAAAATATTGATTCCCTGAGTTATATGGATCGTTCAAATGTTAAGACATTTGATTATATAATATCAAAAAATTACCTCCATTAAAATCACCACTGATCTCAACAGAAAAGTTATTAGGTATTGGGAAGCTCTTGATGGTGAATGCAAGTTTTCCAGAATTTTAATTTTTGCCTAAAAACTCAAATTTATCATTGGCAGCAAATACTGTCAGTTTCTGTTTTTAATTGGCAAAACTCCTTTTGTTCACTTTTGAGAAGATGTCTGTCACAAGTACAAGAAACAATAGTTTGTTTTTTTAATTGTGCTTTAGGTGAAAGTTTACAATTCAAGTTAGTTTCTCATTCAAAAATTTATGCAGACATTGTTTTGTGACATTGGTTGCAATCACTGCAATGTGACAGCACTCATTCCTTTCCACCCGGGGTTCCCCATGTCCGTTTGTCCAGTTTTCCTGTCCCTTCCTGCCTTCTGGTCTTGCTTTAGGGCAGGAGTTGCTCATTTGATCTAGTATATTTGATTGAATTAAGAAGCATGTTCTTCATGTGTGTTATTGTTTTATAGGCAGTCTGACAAGTGGGGAGTCCGGGACTTTTTACATTTAATAGCAAATCAGATTTTTAAGTTGCAAAATCTCTAAAAATAAGGATTAAAAATTTTTTAAAATTATTTTTTATTGTATTTTAGATGAAGGTTTACAGAACAAACTAGCTTCTCACTAAACAGCTAGTACATATATTGTTTTATGACATTGGTTAACAACCCCATGACATATCAGTACTTGCCCTTCTCGACCTTGGGTTCCCTATTACCAGCTTTCCTGTCCCCTCCTGCCTTATACTCCTTGCCCCTGGGCTGGTATGCACGCCTTTAGTCTCATTTTGTCCTATGGGTCTTTCTAATCTTTGGCTAAAAGGTGAACCTCTGGAGTGACTTCATTACTGAGCTAAAAGAGTGTCCGGGGGCCATACTCTTGGAGTTTCTCCAGTCTCTGTCAGGCTAGTAAGTGGTCTTTTTTTGAGTTAGAATTTTGTTGTGCATTTTTCTTCAGCTGTGTCCAGGACCCTCTATTGTGATCCCTGTTAGAGCAGTCAGTGGTGGTAGCTGGGCACCATCTGGTTGTACTGAACTCAGTTTGGTGGAGGCCGTGGTAGTTGTGGTCTGTAAACCCTTTGGACTAATCTTTCCCCTGTGTCTTTAGTTTTCTTCATTTTCCATTGCTCCTGAAGGGGTAAGACCAGAGGAGTATATTAGATGGCCGCTCACAGGCTTTTAAGACCCCAGATGCTACTCACCAAAGTAGAATATACAACGTTTTCTTTATAAACTGTTACGCCGATTGAGCTAGATGTTTCCTGAGACCATGGTCCCCACAGCCCTCAGCCCAGTAATTTGGTTCCTTAGGGAGTTTGGATTTGTCCATGGAACTTCCATGACCTTGCCTTGGTCAAGTTGTGCTAGCTTCCCCAGTATTGTGTACTGTCTTACCCTTCATCAAAGTTACCACTTATCTATTGTCTATTTAGTGTTTTTCCACCCCCACCCGTTCCCTACCTCGTAACCATCAAAGATTGTTTCTTTTTGTGTGTGAACCTTTTCATGAGTTTTTATTGTAGTGGTCTCATACAATATTTGCCTTTTTGTGATTGACTTATTTCATTCAGCAAAATGCCCTCCGAATTCATCCATGTTGTGAGATGCTTAGCAGATTCATCATTGTTCTTTATTGTTACGTAGTACTCCATTGTATGTACTCTAGTGTGTTTGTCCGTTCATCTATTGATGGGCATCTAGGTTGTTTCCATCTTTTTTGCTATTGTGAATAATGCTGCAGTGAATATGGGCATGCATATGTCTATTCATGTGACAGCTCTTATTTCTGTAGGGTATATTCCCAGGAGTGGGATTGCTGGATCATTTGGTATTTCTATTTCTAGCTTTCTAAGGAAGCGCCATATCATTTTCCAAAATGGTTGTTCCATTTTGTATTCCCACCAGCAGTGCATAAGAGTTCCAGTCTCTCCGCAGCCTCTCCAGCATTTGTTATTTTCTAATTTTTTGATTTGTGCCACTAATGCCAGGGTGAGATGGTATGTCATTGTGGTTTTGATTTGCATTTCTCTAATGGCTAGTGATCAGGAGCATTTCCTCCTGTGTCTGTTAGCTGCTTGAATGTCTTCTTTGGTGAAGTGTCTGTTCATTTCCTTTGCCCATTTTTTAATTGGATTATTTGTCTTTTTGTTGTAGAGGTGTTAGATTTTCCTGTAGATTTTAGAGATTAGACCTCTGTCGGATTTGTGATAGCCGAAAAGTTTTTCCCAGTGTGTAGGTTCTCTTTTTACTCTGTTGGTGAAGTCTTTTGATGAGCATAAGTGTTTCATTTTTAGAAGATCACAGTTATCTAGCTTATCTTCTGGAGTTTATATGTTGTTAGTTATGGTTTGTATCCTATTAATGCCATGTATTAGGGTCTCTAACATTGGTCCTATTTTTTTCTTCTATGATCTTTATATGTTTGGTTTTATATTTAGGTCTTTGATTCATTTTGAATTAATTTTTGTGTATGGTGTGAGATATGGGTCCTGTTTCATTTTTTTGCAGATGGACATCCAATTTTGCCAGCACCATTTGTTAAAAAGACTGTCTTTTTCCCATTTGATGACTTTGGGCCCTTGTCGAAGATCAGGTGACCGTAGGCAGGTGGATTTACATCTGGGTTCTCTATTCTGTTCCATTGGTCAATGTGTCTGTCATTGTACCCATACCAGGCTGTTTTAACTACTGTAGCTGTATAGTGGGTTCTGAGGTCAGGTAGTGTGAGTCCTCCTACTTTATTTTTCTTCTTCAATAATGTTTTACTTATCCAGGGGAAACTGTAATTTTTCTGTCAGTCTTTTTTTTTTCAAGAAAAATGATGTTCCTTGAAAAAAGCAGTTAGTTCAGCTTGCAACTCTATCTTACAAGTGTTTTTTCTTATGACAGCCATCTTCTTTATGCAACATACAGAATATTAATTAGAAAATGTGTACTTAAAGGTCAAGATTTTATAATGTTAACATTTTTTACTGCTTCATCAAGGACATTCTTAAGTAAGGATGGTTTTTTCCATCTTGAGAGTAAATGAGGTAAAAAACAAATACTGAAATACAGTTTGGTGCTATTGCTTGATTTGTGCTAAGGAGTCAGCAGTTTTTTGATTCAGCAGCAGTGGGTTTTTTTTTTGGCTTTTGTACCGTCAGTGAAAATGTGAATACAATTAAAAAGGCAAACGATGCCTTAGTATTATTAAAAAAAAAAAAAATTTTAAACTTGTGGATCCCCTGAGAGGGTAATAGGGTCCTCAGGGTTAGTGGACCACGCTGTGGCAAATGCTGCTATAATATAACTAAGCTTATTTACAAAGTAATTTTTTCCCATTACTTGTTTGCTGTTAGAGTTAGAAAAAATATAAATTCAACTGTTCATGTGTAGCACCAAAAAATATATGTAGAGAAATAACCATTTAAATACCACATTTTACATTATGATCCAGTGTATACATATATATGAGTAACTAAAAAATGTTTTTTTGAAATAATACCCTTAGAATGTGTAATGCATTCTAGTATTTTCTAGTTTATTATTTCATTTAATAAATATTGGTTCTGAACCCTTAACTGATTTCACAGTTCATCAATCGGTTGCAGCCTATAGTTTGTAAAATGCTTGCCTAAAATGGGCATGAGTTGAGAGACAAATCTCCTGTTCTCTGAGTTCTTCTTGATTCCCATGTGGTAAATGGTCTGAGCATTTTGCCACACTGAATATAATTCTAGTGTTTACAGAAACATAAATATCAGACAACAAGGCCCTTTTTATTTTTATATTGCACATTACTATGTATATTATACATTGGCCTTCAAGGTTGTATTTATATAACCATGCATACTATACTTTTAATGGGTATTTAAATTACTTTCAAGAGTAATTTTTCACATATGCAATATATGCTGATTTTAGAATTTAACTTTTATTTGTGGTGTGACTCCACTGTATCTTTCATGGCCTTGTTATTTCTTGACAAAACAGAAACAAAAAACAATTATGAAACATCTTCTTTCAGGTTAATTACCATGCTCAGAATTATCATCTCACTCCATTTACAGTCATCAATATTATGTACAGCTTCAACAAAACTCAGGTAAGAGTCAGTGTATAGATTGTTTTAAAGTTATATTTAACATAAGTGTTATTTGGATTTAGTAGTTAAAGCAAGAATAATTCCTTTTAATTTGTTTAATAAAATATCTTAACTCTTGTACTCAAAATAATATAACATTGTAATGACACGTTTTGAATCTTCTAAAATTTCACTTAATTAGTTCACCAAAAACTGCAAAGAGCTGTACTAAGCTCTGAGAACAAAGCAACAGGTAAGATCATATGTCTGCTATGAAGAGACTTGTAGTTTAGTCATAGAGACAGAAACTTAAACAGAAGATTATGGTACAATAAGATAAACGCAGTGTTAGAAGTATAAAATGTTATTAGAGTACAGGAGAGAGGTACCTTCCAAAACTAGAACTGGACACAGGGTATGGTTAGGAAAAACTTTGGGAAGAAGGAACACCTGAGCTGCATCCTTATTCTTGAGGAATCTGTCTTTAAATGATGAAAGTAGAGAAAGGTATTTGAAGCAGAAAGGTACAAGAGAAGGAGAGGTTATAAAGATAAGGAATGACATTCAATGCAGTAACAGTGATTGAATAGTAAGAGAAAGATAGAAAAGGAACTACAGAATAAGCAGGATCCAGAGTGTAAGGAGCCTTCTAAAAACTGCACAGTTGATCTTAAAAGCTATGAGAATACCATTGAAAATTTTTTGGTAGTGACCAAATTTCTTGAACAAACTTGGATTGTTTGGCAGTATCTATCAAAATTTAAAATGTATGTATTCTTTGATTAATTAATTCTACTTCTAGGAACTTATCCCACATAGGGGTGTGTGTGTGTGTGTGTGTGTGTGTAGATAGATAGGTAGATAGGTGTATGTCTATACAAGATGCCGTTGTGGACTTGTTTATGAGATTGGAAACAATTTAATATTAATCAACAGGGTACTAGTAAAATAAATTACAGTATGTTTATGTAGTGAAACACCATGTAGCTGTTAAAAATAGGATGGTAACTGTGTGTGTGCTGATACAGAATGGTCTCTGGGATATTTGTTATGGTTCAGGATAGTACAAATAGTAAGGTATCACCTGTTAAAAATAAACAAAACGAAAACCTTTATCCATAAGTAAAGAGGCATACTTGTATACATGTGCAGTATCTCTGGATGATAAATAAGAAACCGCTACTAGATGAGGGGTGAGAAAGAGACAGACTTTAAACCTGAAACACTTGTTTCTTTTGAATTGTACACCATGTATGTTATTGGTTAATAACATTTACATAATAAGAATAGGAATAACACTAATGGTGTGTGGAAAGGGGCAAGCCCAGAGACAGTGAAACTGTTATAATGTAGAAAAATTGATACAAAGTAACGGTATAAGGATAGAGAAAAAGACTGATTGTAAGATATTCAGGGAGTAGAACTGATGGAATTTGGTGACTGGTTAGATACAAAGAGCCAGACAAAAGTGTCGTCTGGATATATGATTCAGACACTGGGACGATGAAGCTGCTGTCTAGGGAGATAGAAAATAGAACAGAGAAGGAAAGAATCCATATGGGTTGGGGACTAGTGAGAGTGATTGCATTAGTTGTGGATATGTAAAATTTGAGATACACAAGGGTCATCCTAAAGGCATTGGTAATTCAGTGGTAGAATTCTCACCTTCATGTTGGTGACCCTGTTATAATTCAAGCCAATATACGTCGAGCCGATACACCTCCTGCGCAGCCACTGCCTGTTTGTCAGTGGTGGATTGTGTGTGGCTATGATACTGAACAGGTTTCAGGAGACTTTCCAGACTAAGACAGACTAGGAAGAAAGGCCTGGTGATTTACTTCAGAAAATTAGCCAGTAAAAACTGTGGATCACAATGGTCCAAATTGGTCATGGCAATGGTATTGGACAGGGCAGCATTTCCTTCCTTTGGACATGGGGTCACCATGAGTTGGGGCCAACTTGACAGAAGCTGAAAACAACAAATGGTCATCTTAAGGACAAGACTAGTAGGAAGTTGAACATACAGACATAGAGGTCTGAAAGTAACCAGGACTGGAGCCTTAGTTAGAGTTATTTAATTAAGTGGAATGTTCATCTTGGTCTAAAAGCAGGCCACCCAACAAACATTTAAAATGATAGGAGTTAATTTTCTTGTAGTTCTCTACTATATTAGAATTGTGCCCTTTGGAAAATATTGATAAATATTAAATGTCAAATTTTATTAATACATTTTTTATTTTTCCTATTTAGAAGTTAACAGAAATAACAAAACCTTTTACTCATTTTAGGGACCAAGAGCCCTTTGGAAAGGAATGGGAAGTACATTTATTGTCCAGGGAGTCACACTTGGAGCAGAAGGAATAATCAGTGAATTCACACCTTTGCCAAGGTAATATTAAGGTCTGACTAAGAAGTCTCTGAACTATGGAACAGGACAGAAAAGAGTGAGATTGAAAGATATTTCTGAAGTATAAAAGATGATAATGATATATTGGGTGTGGGAGTTAGGGAGAGTTAGTTGTCAGCAGTAACTGAAATTTCTAGATTAGAACATGTTAACCAAGACGGAGATTTTATGAATAAGAATAAGATGGAATGGAGAAGATAAGGAATTTAACTTTCAATAAGTGAAGTTTGAGATTTGTACAAGACATCTAATGGGGAATGTCTAATAAGAATTTGAAGCTGGAGACATATCTTTGAATGTTGTGGTATAGAAGAAGTAGTTGAAGCATTTTAATGTATGAAATCCCTAAGGAGAGAGTATAGACTAAAAGACAAAGTGTACTAAGGACAGAACCCTGGGTAGTGTGTGTGTGTGTGTGTGTGTGTAGTTGAAGAGGTAGTTGAGGGGGGTAGTAAAAGATGCCCACAAAACAAATTCATAAAGAGCAGTAAGATATTGGTGAATAGTGTCCTAGAAGCCAAGAGATGGGAGAATTAGAATTATAGATACTTTTGGAGGGAGAGGGTAGAGAAATTGGGAAAATTCACTTCTGGGTCTTTTTTCTGTGAACAGGATACAGGGTTATTTGGTGAAAGAAGGATGATCTTTGGGATTGTAGTAGGAAAGCATGAGAAAAGTGATATATGTTTGGAACAGTCACAACTATGGGTAACAAAGAATCTTACAAGGACTATATGAAAGGAATGTTTCATAGAAAAGAATGTTAATAGATAATATTGGAAATCATACATTTGTTTAGGTGCTCTTTGGCATGATTGTGATTTTCTACAGCACAGCACCTTCTCAGACCTTCCCTCCAGGTGGAGCAAGTTGGGTGGAGTAAGCGTTGCTCCACCCTGCACTATCCTTAATTTACTTGTGACTTTTCTCATATCATTAAAATGAGGAAGCATATCATTAAAATGAGGAAGGAGCCCCTGTTGCCAAGGCTTTCTTTGTAGTGGAGTCTCACAAGTCATTTGTTGAACTCAACCTTTGTTTTGGATCATCACACATTTGTGGTTGTGACAATGTAAATGTCTTGCATTTTTCTCCTGATGTTGTCTATTTCTCCAAATAACTTCTCTGAATTCACCTACTTAAACACATTCTATTTTAAGCACAATGAAGTCTTTCTCCAATTCAATAGATACTCTTTCCAAATGACAGTCCCTGAGTAGGGAACACTAAAATAGTTTAAGGATAGAAAAGAAGGATCTTAAGTTTGATTTTGGACTAGTTCATCTTCAGGTACTTTGCCATACTCAGGTGAAGTTGTCAGTAGGCAAAGATATAGAGATTGGCATATAGAGGAGAAGGCAAAACTGAAGATAATACATTTACGAGGTTGTGAAGCTATCATCTTGGATAGATTGATTAGAGAACGTGTAGCTCCATCTTTCAGTGTCATTAATATCACACGCAAGTAAAATTTTGCTGAAGATAATTCAAATATGGTTGCAGTGAGCTGCCAGAAATTCAAGCCAGATTCAGAAGAGGATGTGGAATGAGGGATATCATTGCTGATGTCAGATGGATCTTTGCTGAAAGCAGAGAATACTAGAAAGATGTTTACTTAAATTATTAGTGACTTTATTTTAACTTTCTTCATCTCAGTATAAAATATGTTTGTTCATTTATAATCTTTTTATGTTTGTCATACTCATTCATTTCAAGTAGAAAATATATTTTCTGAGCTTCCTGCTGTGGCCATGGGGGAATGGCTGCCAACGTGTCATCTTTCATCAGTTCCCTCAATGGAACTGCTGGCAGCGAGTTGCATTTTTGCCTTTCCCTTTCTCTTTTATTCTGTTGTCTTTTTCTCCTTTTCTCTCTCTCTTTTTTCTTTTTCCTCTCTACCCCCTCTGTCAGTCTTTTCATTGTTTTCTGTCTTATTTACTTTCTCTTGTATTTTCCATATACTTTGCTCTTTTTGACTTTTTCTTGATACTGCTTTCTTCTTTTTCCCTTTTTCTTTTTTCAGCTTGCTTCCTTCTTTTTCTTATTTCTTTTCTAATTTCCTAAGGTAAGCTAGCAGCAAGCCCTGGTGGCACAGTGGTTAAGCACTCGACTGCTAACTAAAAGATTGGTGGTTTGAAACCAACAGCCGCACCGTGGAAGAAGGATGTGGCAGTCTGCTTCCATAAAGATTACGGTCTTGGAAACCCTATGGGGCAGTTCTACCCTGTCCTTTAGGGTTGCTGTGAGTCAGAATCGACTTGACAGCAATAGGTTTGGTTTGGTATTTTGGTTTAAGGTAAGGTAGATTGCAGGAACAACGGTAGTTTAGACCTTCAGTCCTGACCTAGCAGTTTGCCTGTGTCATTTGAACATGTCTATGTGATCTTTCTGAGCCTCACTTTTCTCATTAGTAAAAGAAACATGATAATACCTTCTTGCTTATCTCACATGATTCCTCCTGGTATCAAATGAGATGAGAGGCAGCGCAGGTAGAAAGTGCAGGGTTTAGAACCCAGTGCCACCACTCAGCAGTTGTATGGCTTTGGGTAAGCTGTGAACTCTATCTGAACCTATTTCCTTGTCTATGAAATGGAGATAATAGGGTCACTGTGAGAATTAGAAATAATTCACGTGAAGTGTTTTATGCAGTACCTGGCAAATATTAGGGACGCAGAATTAATATAATTAAAGACCCTTTGGAAATCAGGTGTTACCCAAATGTAACATAATATTCTGTATCACAGTTACTTAATTTTGTTTTTTAATTCTCATTGTTCATACATACTTTTTTAAAGCTTTTCTCCTTCCTTTACCCTTTCTTCTGTTCCTTCCCCTTCCCCATTCATTTTCTCTATCTCCAACTTTGATTTCTCATCATGTTTATGTTTATAGTCAGTTATAACTGTTCTCTTCTTCTGCCAACACGTAGAAAAACACCTCGTACTTTTCTCCTCCTTCAAACCAACACAGTTGTTTGAGGTGACATTGTCCCAGAAAGGAAAATGTACGCCATTAGAAGTTATATTTCTCTTACAGATTAAAAAGAAAATTAGAAATTGATTACTTTTTTGAAAATTGGGCTAATTCAAGGTGTTTTTAATAACTTGGCATTTGTTTTTACTTTTTAGGGAGATTTCACACAAATGGAATCCTAAACAAATAGGAGAACACCTTCTACTGAAAGCGTAAGTGTCAAAAGTGGCAATTTTATTGGAAATGCCCATTAATTTTTATAGTGTTAGAACTCAAAAGGAAATCTTATTAAATAAATATAGTGAAGGAAATTAAAGCAATAAAATATTTGTGGGAATAGGACTTCAAAAGACAAAGTAGCATAAAGTTTAGGAAAATGTATTATCTTTAAAATAAATCTTAGTGATTTGAAAGGTTGGACACTGCCTAATTCTTCCTTTTGTTCTTAGGAAGTTAGCAAAGGTCTTCAATTTATTTAACCTGAATTACCAGGAAAGTTATTAATTTTTTGTATTATTAAGCAGAGGTACGAATTTATTTGTACAGTGATGAGCAGACCCAAAAACTTAGTGGCATTAAAATATAGTCCAAACGGCACTTAATGATTTTGCAACAGTGACCATTTTGGTAGATTAGAAATTTTACTCTTCACTTTTTAATTTTTTTTGAAGATTGTGAATTGGATACCCCCCAGCTTGCTGGCTCCCTCTGTGGGACATTCCAGCACATTATTACTTAGTGATGTTCCATTCACCTTGAAAACCACTACTTGCCAGGACCTGGCCCATAAGGGTTAGGTAAGTCCCACCTCAATATTATTTTAAATAACTATATTTTACAGGCTTGCAAAGTTGCAGTATTACTATGCCTAAACATTGGTGATAGGAAACAACTTTGCAAAACTGTACAATATTGTTTTTTAATAATAAAAGGGACTTCACTCACGTTGAAGGCTGGCTTCATTCTGCTGGGTGGGAAATCTGGGAATGAATAATGATAACAGATAGGGTAATAGCAAAAAAAAAAAAGATTCTTGTTCTGAATATCACTAAAAAAGGCAAGTTATGGAATGAATTCTTCATCCTGAAATTTAATTATTAGAGTTATAGAATACATTAGCTATATGCAGGTAAATGTCCAAACAGTGAATCATAAATGAGGCTACATTTTACTGGTTTACAATAAAATATTTTCTTTGAAGGCTGTTCCTGTGTTGTTATTAATAAGTCTTTTATCTCTAATTGTTGAGTAAAGCATCCTACGTTATAGATCTCTGAAGTGAATATCTTTAGCTTATAGGTATTAATAGTTGAAAAACCTTAAAAAAAATCATTCTAGCTTGAATATAAATTATGTCAATATAATAAAGCAGATACTAAAAAAAAAATGAGCGAAATCATTTTGTTTCAGTATGCTGACAAGCGTGTTTTTAATTTCTACAGCCTAACTTATATGGTGGCAATGCCTTTCTATTCAGCAAGTCTAATTGAGACAGTACAGGTAAGCTATTTTCACTGTCATTTTTTTAGTTAAAAATATATATTTTTAATATTCAGTATATTATGTATGCCTGATTGCATAACAAAGATTTAAGAGAGTATACCTTAAGAAAATTATTTCTCAGATAATCACACGTGTGTCAAAGATTATATACTAGGCACATTGCTGATGTGTATATTTCCATGCAAACTTATTTTACACTTCTAATTTTAATTCTTTTTATACTTTCCATAGGCAACTATACTCTTCATTCAGGTATCTCAGAGCCCCTGACTTCTTAAGGCCCTTGTGGGACAACTCACAGGGTTATGGCTTATCCTAGGACAATAAATTACTGATTCCCTGAGCATAAAACATGATGGGTAATCATCCTAACCGTGAGCAGGTGGTCCCCATATGTAGTTTCTTCATAGCATTCTTTTTAAATATGCCTTTTAAAGAAAATTTGATATTGTATGCATGGTAAGTACTATAAAGCTAAAGCAATATCCAAACCAAACTCATTGCTGAGTTGATTCTGACTCATAGCAACTCTACGGGACAGAGTAGAACTTCCCCACAGGTTTCTAAGGCTGTAAATCTTTACGGAAGCCGACTGCCACATCTTTCTCCCATGGAGTGGCTGGTGGGTTTGAACCTCCAACCTTTCTGTTAGGAGCCAATCGCTTAAACACTGTGCCACCAGGGCTCCTAAATATCCTGGTTTACTATTTCTGACCACATGATGGCGCCTCAAGTACATTCAGTTAAATGTCATACACTTTGTCACCCATGTTCTTCCTATGCTTACACTGCAAACTGTAGTTTTAATATCACCTCTATATAAAATCCAATTAATTGTACACCCGTATTCTATCTCCAACATCAGATCCTCTAATATATTTTCTTCTTCAGTGTGTAATAAATGCTCTCTCTTGATAAAAACTCCACTGGAATAGCCTTTGGTCTTCTAATTACTCATTTCCACTTAGTTTCTTTTCTGGACCCATTGTTGATTTTTTATTTTATTTTTTAATGCATTCATTAAGTTCTTGCTACCCAAATACACTGGCAGATTTCCTTTCCCCTTGCATTTAGCATTGTGATAAAAAATGAGCCTTTGTATGGTGCTACAGAGTTTACAGTTATCACTCTATGAGAGAGCCTCTTTTTATAGATAAGGAAAAAAAGAATAGAAAGGTAATTAACTTACTAAAGTAAAAACAACTAAGCCATATGCTATATTGTGGGAAAACAAGTTTTAGCTTTAGATAAACTCATGTAAGAATCACATTTCTCTACTTATTAAATTTATGACTTTAGGCGAGTCACTTAATTTCAGAATCTTAATTTTCTTGTCCATAAAATGGAAATAGTACTTTAATAACTAGGATTCCCATGATGCATATGTTAGTTTGCTTGGTGGTGGTTGTTAGTTGCCATTGAGTCAGCTCCAACTTAACGGCAGCCCCATGTGTGGTGTCCATTAGGCTTTGCTCCGCTTTCTTGATCCTTTTTCTTTTTGCTCTTCAGACTCAATAATCTCAATTGTCTTATGCTGATTCACTGAGTCTTTCTTCTGCTAGCTCAAATCTGCTGTTGAATTCCTCCAGAGAACTTTTTAGGGCAATTATTTTATTTTACGGTTACAGTATTCCTGCTTTGTTTCTTTTTAAAGTGTCCAACTCTATTAATAAAAAAGGCAGAGACGCTGTAGATCATAGTAAGTGATAAAAACACTAACATTTATTGAGTGCTGACTGGGTATCAAGCATTTTCTCATTTAATACAGCAACTCTGTGCATAAAAGGTAGATAGTACTAATTCCATTTTTATAGAATGGTAAGCTGACACTTAGGGAAAAGTTAAGGAAAATGCTCATGATCTCATAATCAGTAAGTAATAGAACCTATGCTAAGCACTATCCTGCCTCCTTAGGCATCATAGTAATTGGTTTTCAGATGAGTTCTAAGGAGCTTCTTGAGGGTAGGGAAACCAGGTGTGTCCTTCTTTCTCTCCCTACCCAATTAAGAATAGCTCCCAGCTTCGCTGCTATCTGTTCCATGAGATTTCATTTGAAAATGGAAACTAACGCCACAATAACATTTGAAGTCTGGAAACTATTGATGTTTTCTCACTTTAGTCAGTAAACTTGAACTTAAAGGGGACCTAGAAGCATCCTTTTTTTGTGGCAAAATAGGCAGATGTTCAATTTTACTCATTTTATCATTTTGATTTCAGAGTGAGATAATTCGCGATAATACTGGAATTTTGGAATGTGTTAAAGAAGGAATTGGAAGAGTGATAGGTATGGGAGTGCCTCATAGCAAACGACTGCTTCCGCTGCTTTCCTTGATCTTCCCTACGGTGCTGCATGGAGTTCTTCATTACATCATCAGCTCAGTCATTCAAAAGTTTGTCCTACTAATTCTAAAGAGAAAGACTTATAATAGCCACCTAGCTGAGAGCACTAGCCCTGTGCAAAGTATGTTGGATGCTTATTTTCCAGAACTTATTGCTAACTTTGCTGCCAGTCTTTGCTCTGACGTTATACTTTACCCACTGGAAACCGTTTTGCACCGCCTTCACATTCAAGGAACACGCACCATAATTGACAATACAGACCTTGGCTATGAAGTGCTTCCAATTAATACGCAGTATGAGGGGATGAGAGACTGTATCAATACTATAAAGCAGGAGGAAGGAGTGCTTGGTTTTTATAAAGGATTTGGTGCTGTTATAATACAGTACACACTGCATGCAGCTGTTTTACAGATTACCAAAATTATTTACTCTACACTTCTTCAAAACAGCATTTGAGATTTAGGCTCCATCACTGGTTAGTCAACGAGACATAATCTGGATACTTTGTTATGAAATTATGAGGGTTAAAAGTGAAATACTGGGAAGAAAATGGATTGGAAAATGAAACTGGTAGAAAAAGCCCATGCTGATCATATTCAAACACTTCTTTTTTGGATAAAAATTACTCCAAATTTGAAAACTTAGTAAAAATAACACTCATTATTAATTAAATTCTAGCTAGTATAGCACTCATACTGAACTGAAAAATAAAGATCTTGGGCAGAAGCAAGTTTGTCATAAAATATACAATAAAATTGCATAGACCTGAATCTAATTAACTGACCTTAATATTTGTTACATGTTTATTTCACCTTCTAGATTGATATTGGTATATCTTCCTTAATACGATATACAGTATCAGGAGGTCATAGTGTACCTTTAAGCAAATAAATTATTCCATCAGTGAAAAAGACTAGAAGATTAGACTTAGCAATCTGTAAGCAGGAGTTTAAAAATTTTAAATTGCATTGCCCCTATATAACTATTTTTAATGGTTGTATGTGTATTATATAAAGCAATTTACGTGTACACACAAAACTTGGCATTGCCATCATCGCTACAGATCAGCTTATTACATAAAATGAAGTCATGTACTTTATGCTTGAATATCACCAAGAATAAAACATTAAAAACCAAGGTACCCTGAAGAGTTAAGTTCAGCATAACGTACTTGGCCCAGTGTTTCAGTACCAGCAATTTAAAATTTGTCAGATGTTTATAAAGTTGGATTTGCTTAGCTAGTTATGTGAACCATCAGGCTATTTTTAGAGCTACTCTTAAGGGAGATAGAATATAAAATAATCATGACAACTATTACTGTTTCCACATTTTCAAATTGTGTACTAAAAAGAACCACACTTGCTTTTTCATTTCTGGAATGACTTGTCTTAGAGGAGACAAAATTAGAATTCACCTGGGAATTTGTGCCTCAAGAGCCTCTTGTATAGTCATTAAATAACGACCTCGGTTTTTATTTTCTCTCAGTTTTTACTTAGTTTGCAGAACTAGATACACATAAAGGGAAAAGTAAGCTTGACCTTTTCACCTTTTATTTAAACTTACTTGGATGAATACTGAAGGAAAAATACAAACATACCTTAAAGGGATTTTGGTCCTTGTTTTTTATGGATTCCATGGGAAGAAAAAAAGTACATTTCAACAAACAATAATACAAAGAAATGTTGAATCAGTTTAATTAAAAATTTCTATTTCTAAATTTAATTTGGTGGGTCAGGCTGTTCTTTGTATAGTAAAATGATCTACAGTTGACTGATCTATCATTAAACATTTTAAAGTTTTATTTTCTCATCTGGATGATCACAGTTTTACTGTGAACTGTTTAATACACTAAAGTGCAATGACTTTTCACTGATGTTGTCCAACATACAAACTGAATTTATTTTACTTTGCTAAATGTCAGATAAGTGATTACTTTTTATGATTAATAGTGCTGGAACCAAAAAATGATATCCAAAAAGCGTGAAACAGTATATAAATTGGGACTCTCTCCACTATCTTGTAAAAGGGCTTTTGTTTTTTTAAGATTACTGAAGCACATACATTTTCATTTTTAAATTCCACAAGGATGGGAAAACCAAAAGTAAACACCACTGATCCCATGTATTTTATGGTTAATTTTTTATGTTATGGTTTACTTTGTCCAACCTATGGCATTTATATTGCTCTCATTGCTTTTGAACTACTAATTTTTTAGATGTTTTAATATGCCCAGCTTCCTTAAAAGCTGTAGTTTTTTTTTTTTTAAGTAATTGAAGAAGGTAGTTTCAGACAAGAGTAAGTTTCAGAAAATTTCAAATCAGTTGTCTGTCTAGAAGAATAGAATCTAAATGGAATCAAGTATTTACTAATGAAAATCTGTGGGACCCTTTGTCTTGTTTAAAAATTAAATATTTGAAGATTGTTGGAAGTTAGCGTGAAAATGCAATTATGCAAATTTCATTATGAAATCATTTATACGTCTGATAGGCTGAACCAAGTAAATGCAAGCTCAAGTAAGTAAAGTTGGGTTTATTTTCTGTCTCTGGAGAAAGAATACAAGTAAACATTAAAACTAAAATGAAAAAAAGTGGTAAGTAAAATATTAATTTTTTTACTGCCATTGCAAGTTAGTTGAAATATAAGTGTCTTTAAAATTCAGGCACTTAAATATTAACAAAATATGTTTAACTGAATTTAGTAACGAATCAGTGCAAATAACAATTAGAGATACTCCCTTTTTAAAATTATTATTTTTCTTTAACATATGGGTATAGATATCAACTATCCATGGCTAAATTTCTTGAGATGATAATAGCTCAGAATAATATTTTTTAATTCAGTATAAGTAGTAGTGTTGTGAATTTTAAGTTTATTAAAATTCTATTGTTCCATAGGCCCAGTGGTCATCTTACATAGGCCAGATTTTGGCCATGGGGCTGACGTGTGATATGCTTGCCTTACATTATAGAGTTTTTTCAGTCAAATAGTCTGAAAGAGATTAGATTAAAAACTGAAAAATATGGGAAATACTAACCTACTCTTAATTGAGTTTATGAATTGATTTACAAAATCTGATGTAGTTTTTTTTCCCTTGAGATAACCTTCTCAGTTTTATGTTGTTTATGTGCCCTTGAAAAGTTTAAGAAGGTTATTTATTTGAGTCTCCAAACTTCCGTATAAGTATGAAATAGTAAAAACAAGCTAACTTCAAAATGGCTATGGGCTGGGGGATTTGATAACTTAACCAGAGTTTTCAGAAACAAAACTGGAGAGGTAAGAGGTCTTGCTCACTTCTGCAGATGTGCCTGACTACTCACAACTGTCTTCATCACTGTGCTTGTATTATCTACAAAAAGCATTCACTATTGATTGGACACAAATGCTTCAATATTTCTGTCCATGTATTCATGCATTTGCTTAGAAAACAGAAAATGCTGCTCTGATATTTGCTTTATCACTGGAGACTGTGAAGTTACATTGTGGTAGAGGATGTAACTCAGTTTGCTTACTCGATATTTTGGAACAGAAAAGATCACTATGCCAGCTCTTAAGAAGATAGCCAGGTTTAAATTATTTCCAAAACTTACATAAGCAAATAAAATCCCCTCGGTAACAATTCACATTGCACTAGAATTTGAGTGATAACTTTGGCGTTTCTGCTTTCTCTTTATGGTTGTACATAATCTCTCTCTCGCTTGCTCTTGCTCTCTATTCTCTCTCTCTAATAGAAACTGAATATGTAATGTCTTGCTTTTGAGTCATTGAATATCACTGATGTGGTACCAAGTTGCATAACAGAATAACAAAAAAATTGTGATTTGACAGTTGTGATTTGATAATATTACCTCATCTAGAAGAGGCGTTTGGTCTGTTTTTTTTTTAAGTTGTTTTTGTTTCTCTGGTATTTTAAATGTTTTGGGTAAATTATGTAATATGGAAAGTTCAATAAAATGTTGAAATACAACCAGTCTTTTTCTTTTACTGATACTATAGAATTACTCAAGCTGGTGTTAGAAGATAAGGTATATTTTTGTAAGTAAAAATGAAGATCAAGAAAAATGTTTGTGTAAAATGAAACCTTTTTGCCCACTATTTAAAAATTCTTTTCCAGGGTCATAAAAGTGATATAACTGTGATGTGGCTTACAAAAAATGAACATTTGTTTTTCAAATAAGGTTTTGCATGCATTGTATTTTGTACAAGTCTTACACATTTCCATATTTGATTTTCACAACAGCCCTATGACGGTTTCCATGCCATGCTGTTTGAGGAACCAGATACAGAAAGGCTGTGACTTGTCCAAAGTTAAGCAGCTAATTAAACACAAAGCCAGAAAGGGAGCCTAGGTCTTGTTATGTAATTCAGTGACCCACCATAATGAGGCCTCCCAAATTCAGGAATAGATGGTCTAATGATAATATATGCTCTTTAGGAAAAGAACAGCATCTAACATTTATTGAGTACTTAGTTCAAAGTCCAGATCATTAAGAACTCAAGTGCATTGTTTCGTATGTTTCCTACACAATCTTGTGAAGTAGAACTAATAGTACCCTTTTTACAGTTAATAAAATTGTAACTGAGTCTGGGAGATGAAGAGCTTCACCTGAGATCATATAGTTAATAAGTAGTATAGCTAGGATTTAACTCAAGTGTTGCTCAAAACTTGTACTCCTAGACTGGTCCCCAGGCCAAAGTTTGGTTGCTTTAATTAGTATCAACCAACAGAAGAACTGAAGGACACCACTGTTACTAATGAACTGCTTCTCAGATGAATCTGTACTGTGGTCTACAATGGAGAGTTCTGAGCTCTTTAGTAAGTGCCTCTACAGCCCTCACCACTCCCCTCCCTTCTCCAGGTTGGAAACCTCTCTTTGAGCTTCCATAGCCCCTTAGTTCTTTTTTTCTTGTGACACAAGGACTTTCTTTTGCAGTTATCTGTGAATATCTATTAAGCACTAATAGAAGATGCACTTACACTGAAGGTCTTGTTTTCTCCCCGCTCCTATCACACATCCATAGACATACTTGTTGCCGTTGAGTCATGGACATAATAAATTACATAGACATAATAAAATGTTGAATGAATAAATGAATGTTAACAAAATTGTGTGACCAGTCTTGTCTACATATTTTGAAGTGTGTTCCCTTTTAGCCCTGGTTGCGCAGTGGTTAAGAGCTACGGCTGCTAACCAAAAGGTCAGCCGTTCGAAACCACCAGCCACACTTTGGAAACTCCATGGAGCATCGACTCGGTAGCAATGGGTTTCGTTGGTTTTGGTTTCCCTTTTAGTTTAGAATTTCAACACTGAAAGTGACCTTTAGAAATCATCTTGATTAAGCCTCTCATTTTACGTATTTGAAATGAAGTCCTAGAGCTATTAGATAAGATCAAATGTGATGGTTAATTTTATGTGTCAACTTGGCTAGGCTATGGTGCCCACTTCTTTGGTCAAACAATCTATGTTACTGTGTAGGCATTTTTAGATGCAATTAACATTTACAATCAGTTGACTTTAAGGGGATTACCCTTGATAATGAGGTTAGGCCTTATCCAATCAAAGGCCTTAAGAGCAAAAAGTGAAGTTTCCTAGAGAAGGAGGGATTATTTTTTTTTTTTAATTGTACTTCAGGTGAAGGCTTACAGAACAAATAGTTTCTCATGAAACAGTAGGACACATGTTCTATGACATTGGTTAACAACCCCACAACATATCAAGCCTCTAACTTCTCAACCTTTTTTTTTTTGGTGAAAATACACATAGCCAAAGATACACCATTTCAAAAATTTCTACATGCACACTTCAGTGACATTGACTATGCTCTTCCAATCGTGCTGTTATTCTCACTTAAGATGAAGGCTTACAGAACAAAATAGTTTCTCATTTAACGGTTACTACAAATGTTGCCCTATGACAA